GCCGTACAGCAGTAATTTAAGTATTTGTTGAATTCTCATCAGTCACTGTAAACTGTTAAGTATTTCAGGGGAAAATATTTGCATGGCTAGAATATTTTTCAGTTTTAGTTAATGTTGTGTGATGCCTTAGTTGGAAGTGGAAGTCCTGGCTTGAAGCCAGCTTGTTTGATCGCCTTTTGGCGCTTGGTCAATAAACCAGCTCCTGGGCAGGTCTCAGGTGTAGCAAATGTAATTGCTGCCAAGACTTTGGTCAGCTACTTTTGTGAGACATTTAGCAGCCAACATCTCAGTGCTTCAACTCCCACTTAGTGATTCTCCCCCTTACTGGTGCCCCATCATGACCTCAGAAATCCACAACTTGATCTCCAACCTGAAAAATGGTAAAGCTGTTGGAAGTGAGTTGATAACAGCAGAGCTCCTAAAGTAAAATCCAGAGTGGTAGCCCCTGTATTGCTGTCCCTTTTTACACATAATAAATTGTTCGGTGAGTGGAACACTCCATAATCATTGTTGTTGTCTGTTTTAAGCCCAACGTCGGATGGTGCAGCAGCTGCAGTCCTTGCTAGTGAAGACTTTGTGAAGAAGAATGGATTGCAGCTGAGAGCTGTTGAAATTTTGGCCCAAGAGATGCGGACTGACTTTCCAAGCTCATTTGAAGAAAACAGCTGCATTAAATTGGCAAGCCTGACCTTTTAATTTATACAGTAGCATGTGTCTTATATGAATATTTAATACCTATGAAATATCTCAAATAGTTTAAGGACTATACACAAACTGAAATGATAAAATAGCCCCTGCTTGCTAGTTAACAATAAAGAACATGTTATATTTTAAAAGGAAAAAGAAGGGAGGAGAAAAAAAATGCAAGTAAGCTCTGGAGCTGTGACTCTTGTCTCGGGTAAATGTCCATGAAGAACAGGAGATTTCTAAGCAAAAAGGTTACCCGCAGTGGACACATTATGGGATGGGAGATCCATGGGGAAAAGATTATGAAACAAGGAGCATTCAATTTAAAACCCATGCTCCAAATCTAACTAAAGAATACAGAATTGCTGAAAGAACACCTCTTGTTGGATATGGAAGGATCATAAAGAGAGTGAGAATGAATGGGTGTAAAATGATTTGCTTGTTACTTTTAAAGAAGTCTAATTCCGTACTTTCACAATTCAGTGAATATATTTAGTAGAATGCTTGGTAGACAGACTGTCCTACTTTGTTTCAGCCATGTCTAAAATTAACCTTTTCCCTGGACTTATAACAGTGTAGCTTAATTCAAAATAAAAGTATTCCACTTTGAACATTGTCTTGAAGTAGCTGGATGTATATTTTTAATTTGCTGCTGTTGCTTTTAGTGCATTTATTTATGTATACATTGCATTTTGATGTAAGTTCATTGGAAAATGTATATATTCATATGAAGTGTTGGGGAATATGTACAGTAAACAGTCCATTTAGTATGCATGATCTTCAAGTGCATCAGCATACTTAATCTCTGATAATTTCATTTTATTCTGTGGTCTCTCGAAAATAGTGCTTTTTGATTGGGGCAATGTCTAAATACAATCAATTCATATTTGTCCATGTTTCGGTGGTTATAATATTCCAAATGGTTAATTAATGTTGCATGTATATATATCCTTAATTTACAATTTTTTTAAAAAAGCCATTATATTCATCAGGACAATTAAGTGGAGTTCAGAAAACAGAAGCATTATTCAATAAAATGCATTCTGGTTGTATTTTGTTGCTCATAGATTGGTTATGATATGACAAAGGAGGCTGCAAAATGTTGTTTTTCAAAAACTGGCCTAACACCAGAAGATGTGGACGTGATTGAACTTCATGACTGTTTTTCTGTTAATGAATTAATTACATATGAAGCTCTGGGACTCTGTCTTGAAGGTATTCCTTAAATATTAGAACTACTAGATACCTTGGCCATAACCAGCACACGATTAAGTGCACTTTACTCCACGTTTAACTCTTTAAAACTGATCTCTGGAGGGAAGAGGAATTACCAGAAGCTTCCAAGCTGTCCTCCTCCCTCTCCGATGCCTTCCTACCACCACCCAGGTAAAAAGAGCACAAAGGCCTGCCCTTCTTTGCTAGCACTGCCTTTGAAGACAGTATTAGCCTTTAAGTATTAGAAAGAATAGATTTAATTACAGGACTTTGTATCATTCTCTTCAAAGTCCAGTACAGGTAGTCCTCATTTAGCAACCACAATTGGGATCAGTAACTTGGTCATTAAGTGAAGTGGTCGCTAAGTGAAACTAACTGTGCTTATGACCTTACTTCAGCTTTTCTTTGCTTTACAGACTTGCAAAGGTTGTAAATGCAAGGATTGGTCATAAAGTTACTTTTTCACCACAATTGTAACTGCAGACAGTCATTGTACATGGCAGTTGCTAAACAAGGACCACCTGTACAGTGTGCTATTGTGAGGATATTGGGTTGGGTTGTGCTATCTGAAATGAGGCTGAAGTCACTGGGTAGAGACCATGAAAAAGACTTTAGAATAATGCCTGTCCTTGTATAGGAAGGGACTAACAAGAAAATCTTTACACGTGCTAGCTAGTTATTTAATGTTGCCTGTACATCTGTCAAAGAGTGTTCTTAGCCAAGCTATAGAACTTACCTTCAGTATTTTTGAATGGGAAATGCAGCAATGTAGCCAGAGCAGAAGGAATTTATCCATATGAAGTTAAGAAAATAGAAATCACTGCACAGATATTGTTGTGCTGTCCCTGTTAAATGAATTACCATTCTGCTCTTTTAATATCACATTTAACCAAAAGCTGGAGAACGAATTGTGGTGAAGGGAAAACACCAGCCTCCTTGTAAATAAGCCACCGCTCCTGACTGTAAGTGCCTGTGGACTCAGGGCTAGTTAAGCTTAAAGCTGCTCTGTGAAAAGAGCAGATAATGGGGATTTGAGACAAAAGTGAAGGAAAACAACAGCACAGTGACAAAGAGAAGCCTGCAGAGAAAGCACTGGAAATTCCCTTATAAAGGCCTGTATAAACAGACTCCCCCACCTGTCTGTGTTGGCTGGTTGGGACCTGGCTCATTTGTCAGGCACTAAATAGAGCCGTTGCTTCTATCGGAATTCCTTACATGAGGAAAAGAAGGGGCCAGAGACTTTACAAGGAGGGATTTGCCTGTTTGCTAAGGCTGGGGTGCCCCTTGAGTCTGCTGGTGTGAAGGAGGATAACAAGCCTCAAGCTACTGCTGCCCGCCCCATTTTCCTCCCTTGATTTGAATATTTTATGTTTGAGAATTTTTCTTTTGTATGCTTAGTTTGGACTGCTGACACTCCAAAGAGACAGTTTTGTTTTCAACCCCTGACCCTGAATGTTTAAAGGTCTGTGAAGAATGAACTGCAGCAGGTTTACTACCTCTTTGGAGTCCAGGGTTTGTTGGTGTTACTCATGAGTCAGCTCCCCACCTCTCTGTCTGCAAGGGACTTTGCCACATGAATATATAATCATCTACTATTAGAACAGCCCTCAGTTAATACAGTGAAGGTTGCTAAATTGTGTCCTATCACATCTCTGTATAACTTAAAACAGGTTTTGGTAGTAATTTTACTGTTGTAATGTTAATTCTTCTAGGATACTAATGGGTGACATCTTTTTAAAAAAATTGTGTTGTGCTGAATGTCAGTGTGTTATAATTAGTTATCAATTAAGTCTGCAATTAGAAAAGACCACAAGTTGTGTTTTAAAAAGTTTAAGATGAGAGTAAGACAAGCAAAGAGGAAACTTAAGAAACAAAGCAAGAATTATCAAGGAAACTAGATAGGCCAAAAGAATTATTTAACATCTGTCTTCACTCTGAAAGACATTAGAGAAGAGCCTCTAACAGAATATCTAAATTATTAGTGTAGAGAAAATACGTGAATAACAGAAGTATGAGCTAATAAACAAATTGTAAGATAATGGGGTTACTGCAGCTGCTACCGTTGTTATTATTACTACTACTACAAGTATTTCTGTCATGCCTTTATGTTCTGAAGCCTTTATGACTTCAGAAGATTGAATTTAAGAAGTGGGGGATATTATATGCATGAATAATTTCCTCTTTTTCTTTTAAGGAAGAGCTGGTGAGCTGATTGACAGGGGAGATACAACATATGGTGGAAAATGGGTTGTAAATCCCAGTGGTGGTTTGATTTCAAAAGGACACCCACTGGGTGCTACAGGTAATTCAGTATTTTATAAGGCTTTTAGTATCTGTATGGAGGAAATGTGAAATTTTATTTAAAGAAAAGGCTAAGCTAGACTATCTCTGTTGGAATCAGCCATCAGTAATTACCAACATAAACCTGCCACTTTGACAAGATGTTATGGCAGGTAACATTTACTGATCTGATTCTGCTCTTTTATCTGGCAGTAAATCCTGCTGAATGCACTGTTACAGTGAAATGTCCATAAACAACACACACACACCTTCTGGTCACTTCAAGAGACATCCACATCCCTTTTTGAACTTTGAAAACTGAAATGCTTGTCTTCACTTTGATTTCAGTGTATGTACAGAAAGATGAATATTTATAATTCCTAAACTGAGAGGTGTTTGGTTAATATTTTTGTTAGAAATAAATAAATTCTGTGTGCTCATAATCTGATTTAGAGTACTTCTAGACAAGAGTTGGTAAGGTACTCAGACCACATATCATTACATCCATATCCACTCACCCAAATAAACCATGAAACTGGGATAGATTTGCTATGACATTCCATTGTTCAGTACTAATATCACATACTTAATTTTTTTCTCAAGTGTTTTTGGGATTAAGAATAAAAAATCCTATGAAATTTGTAGAATATTTTACTATGTTTCACAAGTCAATGGGAGCTTCTGAATTTGAGTGACATTTCAGTAAGTGATGTGGCAAGGGGCTGTGCAGTTTTCTATTTTAAAAAAGGATGTCTCTCTCCAGGGCATGTCCAAATCCGCAAGGGATTTGAAGTGATTGTGCGTCCAAGCCTAAGCATTTACAATATTATAATACTTGTGAAACTAGTCATAGTGTCTCTTGAGTGAAGCCCACGTCCTTGTGACTGCATGGATGTATCCATGTTATTTTCTTAGCAATAATATGAAAGCGTTCCAGAATGTTTTTCCAACTTCCCAATCTAATCTATAGCCCTAGTATCCCATCCAAGTATAGCCAGAACCTACCCCACTTAGCTTGTCAAGCTCAAATAAAGTTGACTAGATGCTACATATTATCTCCCAAAACAAGCTTTTCCTTTGTGTGTTTTTATGTTTGCTCAACTGGTTGTGAACTTGAATTTAGCTATTGATCCTAGGAGTCATGCACCCAGGACAGATTATATCTTTACTTTTATTCAAATGTTGTTGCTCAGTTGGTGATGTGCTTCTCTAGTCCCTTTCCTAAATTTCTTTAACATTTCAGGAATTCATTTGCAAATCTTTTGTCTAAAGTCATTCATGAACTGCCTACAACCGCTATTCATAACAGTGGAATGGAACCACTTGTTTCGTTTACTCTTCTTGGCTACCTTGTATATTTAAAACGTACTTATGTTCTTCAGCTGAAAAGCAACTCTAATCTGACTGTTGAGAGCTCATATATTAAGGATATGCAGATACAGAAAATGCTGTCTTAATGCTGAATGCTAAATTTTAGTCTGTCATTCTGTGGAAAAATACTGACATTAGCTTTGATTTCAGAGGGGAGTGTAACTGCTCTTTGAACAGGGTGATGAAATCTTTTTATTGCTTAGACTTAGATCAGTTTTTTAATTCTTTCAGGATGATTGCTCTCTATCTCTCTGCTGGCAACATTCCAGAGGGGGCTCCTAAGAAGGGAGAGGGAAGCTACATTTGCACTTAGCTTTGTAATGTAACCCAACTTCTAGTTTCCATAGTAGGGTTCTGGATCACTATACTAGAAAAAAGTCATACGTTGATCAAGTCTTGCATGACTTACAGCAATGTTTCTCAACCTTAGCAACTTGAAGATGCGTGAACTTCAACTCTCAGAATACTGGCTGGGGAATTCTGGGAGTTGAAGTTCACGCATCTTCAAGTTGCCAGGGTTAAGAAACACTGACTTAGAGGCCTTATCTACAGGAAAGCAGATTCCGATTAAATGTTAGGAAAAACTCTGTATCATAAGAGCAGGTCTATAGTAGAACCAACTCTGAGTTCCCCTTACTGGATGTCTTCTTGCAGAGACTGGACAGCTTTATCCAGAATGCTTTAAGTTAGCCACTGGTACTGAGCAAGGGGTTAGCTTTGATATCTCGAATGAACCCTTCCAATTTGGTGATCTTATCAAGAAAAGATGATTTTTGTTGTCAGTTGTAATAAAGCACTTTGAAAAGATAAATATAAGGGTATTACTTGGAGCCAGACCTAATTAGTTCTAATTTATACTTTCCCTTTAATGAATAACTGTGGAAATGAGTTTGTGTGGTAAAAAAAAAGAAGCCTCTTTAACTCTCTTGGTGGCATGCAAGCAGGTCACAAAATTCATGCATTCAGATTAAATTAATACCTGCTTATTTATTTATTTATTTATTTATTTATTTATTTTATTATTGCTATTAGCCCTGCACAAAATATATTGCAGCACAGTAACAGGTTTAATGGTCAGCTTTTCAATATCAGATGGGAAAATATTGCATCTTCATTCAAGTATTCATGGCCACTGTGGGATAATGGTTAAGGTGGTAGACTGTCAGGTTAAGCCCAAAGAACTCCACGAGACAGTACAGATATAGTTCTATAGCATTTATTAGCTTCCACC